TTTGGTACTGCAGTGAACACATACTCTATGTTTTTATTGGGACTATAAGTAAAATGTTTCTTGGACAAACTTATGGTTTTCATATTGTAAAATAAAAATTAACAAAATCTAAAATGATTCCTCTAGAAAAATATCATAAAATAAAATATACAAAAAAATTATATTAATTGTATAGTAAAGCAAACTTAAACAATAATAAAAGACCGGTCCGGACCACGGTCCTCAAGAAAAAGATCGGTCCGACAATCGGTCCAGTCCGATCCCGGTCTAAGACCGATAGGACCGGACCGTTGACCTTCACTATTATAGACCTACACCTAGTGTTGTTAAACGGCTCGATTTGAGCCGATTTTTGAAAACGGATAACTCAACATTATAGCCAGGAAAATATTGCCTAAGCATCGTAATCTTGCCAATAGATGTTCAATCCTATATGCCATCTATAAACAAAATATTTAGGCTTGCATAATATTTTTCTGGATAAAATATTTAGTTAGCCGTTTTTAAAAATGGGTTCAAGTTGAGCCGTTTAACAAAACTACCTACACCTACCCCATTTTTTATTAAAAAACATCAAATAATAAATAATATGTTGTTTTTCTTTAAATAAATGCATTCGCAATATATTTATTGTTTCGCGGTAATGCGCTCGCGATAATGACTTCGCGCAAACATATTCGCGATAAAAAATTGGCTGTAAAGTATTCACGTAAAATGTTTCGCTAAAATGTATTCGCTCTAATAAATTCGCGGTTAAGGCTTCGCGGAAATTTGCGACAATGGCTTCGTGAAATTGTCTTCGCTATAAATGTTTCGCGGAGATAAATTCGCAGAATTGGTTTCGCGATTTTACCTTCGCTATAAAATCTTTTCGCGATAAACGATATTCGCGATAAAAGTTTCGCAAAAAAGTATTTTGCGATAAAAGTTTCGCTGAATTGACCTGATACGGATTTTTGATAAGGGCGTAGCGTTGAGATTGAACCATTTATTTTATTAGATTATTTTAAAAAACAGATTTAATTTTGGAAAGAGAAACGGGGTAAAAAATTTTTAAAACATAAGAATTTTTTTTTAAATAAAACAAAAACTTACTGGTGCCATGCCATCTAGGCGCTATAATCATTGAAATTTAAGATAATAAATATAATATAATACATTTTAAATTGAAATAATTTAAAGAACCAAAAAATCTCGCTATTGTTACAAATTTTAAATAACAATGGGAGAGAGAGACGGGGGAGGGATTGGTCATTTATTTTCTAAAATAATTTAAAAAAATATACAAAAAGACCCGGAAAAAAATTCCCATTAAAAAAAAGGAAAATCGTTAATTTTTGAAAAATTTTTCTTGTCAAATTCTTAATTTTTTTTCTCAATTTATATTTTTCTTCCCATTTTTCCTTTAAGTCATTTTAATCTTTATTTTTCTGATATTTTCTCAATTTTTTTCTTCTCAATTTTCATTTAATTTTTTTAGTATACCTAGCAATAATAAATGAGTCTCATGGCATATTATATTGATATGGGTGGAAATCTTATGTCCCCAGAAAATTTTCTGCAATTATATATCAGTACTCAAATAAAATACAACATTTTACGAAAAAATATTCGAAATAATAAGTCTAAATGTCAAGAAAAGGATTTATTTCCTGATCCATTTTATATATATGGATTTCGAAAAGTTTGCTATGAGCGCGGTTAAAACTGTCATTAGTGTGATCATTAATATGTTAAATTATTATATTAATTTTTCCAAGTCAATAAACCCATAGAAAAATACAAAAGCTAGGTCTGGAAAGCCAATACAGAATCTGAAGCCCTAAGCTTCTTTTGTGGCATGATAGACGGCTTAGCATTTGTTCTTTTATGTGATATGAGCAATGCAATGACATTCCTGAGATCGGTTACTCCGACCAATGGTAAAGAAATTCTTGAATATTTCGATAAAAGTTACATCTCTCAATCCTAGACACGTCGAATTGGGCCTCGAATTCCTCCAGAAACTTGGAACGTGAATGAGAGCACCCTATCCGATGAAGGACCCACAAATAATCAATGCGAAGGTTGGAATCATCGTTTTTCATATCTGGTTGGGAATAAACGCCCATCAATCTGGGTATTTATTAAAAAAATGAAATGCGAGGTGGCTGCCGATGCAACCAAACTTGAACGATGGCATGTAGGTAGTTGGACACCAAAACAAAATCGTAGAGTTACAATACCCAGATTCGGTTAAAAAAACTCTGCGAGTAATATCGTGATGGGGTGCAAAGCTTTCCAGATTAGATTTTATGAGGGCGATTTCCTTCTTAATTTGATGTCAACCGATATAATTATTAATCTAAATTATTCAATTTGTATATACATAATAATGATTTTTCAATAAAATAAACAGATCTTATTCAAATTTTGTCAAATTTAATCTACTTACTTAATATAGTAATTAAGGATAGATATTTATAGCAAATAATTTTTACGAAAATTAGTAATATATGGGTTATTTTACTAGGTTGTCCCAGTACCTATTTGAACATCAGCATTTTTTATGGAGTGTACATGAGTAATCTTTACCTAATGAATTGGGGCCTAAAAAAATTTATTATTAAATTATAATTTTATAATATTTTTTTTCTAAAATACTAATTTGTTTATACTTTATTAAATCCAATTAAAAATATACCGATAATATTAGATCTTAAGTAAATTCGAAAAAAAATTTCGGGGTTTTTTTCCGGGGGTTTTTTCCCGGGATTCGATATTTTATTATATGAAATTAAAAATAATATTGACATTAAATGTGCTATGAATGACTATGTTTTTTCTTTTTTGAAAAAAATTATTAAAAGAGGAAAAGATTTGTTGACTTTTAAAGAAAACGTGGTACGTTTGATCAATAAAATTTTTTTTTGAGGGAGAATTATGAAAATCGATTGTGTTAAAAAAGTTAATTAATTCCCTCCCCCCCCCCCCCACCATTTATTCTTAAATACTTTATATAAATAATAACAAATTCAGTATCGTTTTGTAATATTTTTCAAAGAAAATACATGTTCGCATTTTTTAGGCGTGGCGATTAAGTGTGTGAACCCCGGGTCTTTTCCCGAGGTTCATGATCATAGCTGGTTTAGTCAATTTTTAGACTTAAATCATGGGTCTGGGGGTTACATAACTAACCAATTAACAGAACTTATTATTTAAATAGTTTTCAAATCAAAAAATTTATTTATATGCGAGATTTACAAATCAATCTCCTTACTTTCAAATTTAAATGGTTAATTAAAGTGTGCTCTCCATCTAGCCTAAAGGATAAAAGTCAGCTCGTTTCAACAAAAAAGTTCAGTTCAAAAATAACGATTATGACAATTGTCACTTTTCTGTGGTATCTTCACTAAAATTTAATTTAACATGTTTACAATATATATTTACCAGTTTGCTTTAAAAAAATTTAAAAAATAATATTATGACAATTGTCACTTTTCTATGGTACATCTTCACTAAAATTTTAACTAAACATGTTTACAATAAATATTTTTACCTATTTGCTTTGAAAAAATTCAAAAAAGTTCAAAGAAACGATTATGACAATCGTCATTTTTCTGTGTTATCTTCATTAAAATTATAATTTAACATGGTTACAATATATATTTTTACCTGTTTTCTTTGAAATTCAAAAAAGGTCACAAATGACAATTGTCACTTTTCTATGGTACATCTTCATTGAAATTTTATTTTACCAAAATATATTTTTACCTATTTGTTTTAAAAAAAATTAAAAAAGGTTAAAAGATAACAATTATGTCTATTGTCACTTTTCTATGGTACATCTTCACTGAAATTTTAACTTAACATGTTTACAATAAATATTTTTGGAAAAATTCAAAAATAACGATTATGACAATTGTCACTTTTCTGTGGTATCTTCATAAAATTTTAATTTAACATGGTTACAATATATATTTTTACCTATTTTCTTTGAAAAAATAGAAAAAAGTTCACAAATATCGATTATCACAATTGTGACTTTTTAAGGTGCATCACTATAACTTTAATATAACATGTTTCGATATACTATTTGCTTTGAAAAAATTCAAAAAAATATTAAAAATAACGATTATAACAATTGTCACTTTTCTATGGTACATCTTCACTGAAATTTTAATTTAACTATCATTGAATTTAACATGTTTACAATATATATTTTTACCTATTTAATTTAAAAAAGTTCAAAAATAACGATTATAACAATTGTCACTTTTCTAAGGTACATCTTCATTGAAATTCAAATTTAACATGGTTACAAAATATTTTTACCTATTTACTTTAAAATAACTCAAAAAACTTCAAAAATAACGAACATGAGTATGACAATTGTCACTTTTCTATGTTACATCCTAATTTAAATTTAACATGTATATTTTTGCCCATTTGATTCAAAGAAATTAAGAAAAACAAAAAATTCTTATAAATAACGAATATGAGATTTGTGACTTTTCTATGGTTTATCTTCTCTGATATCTCAAGTAGTCGGATGAACTAGACTAACCCCGACTATACAGTGGTTAGGTTCAAAAAATTTATTTAGTCGACTAAATTAATCGATAAGCATGTAGACTAAATGGGTCGACTATGCTGACTAAATAGATCAACTTAGTCGACTAAATTAGTTGTTTTAGTCACTATATTAGTCTTTTTAGTCGACTTTATTAGTCGTTTTAGTCGACTAATTCTAATTTAGTCGCTAAAGTTTTAAGTTGATTACTCGACTAATTAACAACACTACCCACTGATGCATCTAATAAAGGTAATAAAAACATTTCCTATAGCTTTAAGTTATCTCACGAAGAAGAAAAAAAGGTGCTAAACTCTTTAAATTGTAGCAAATAATATTTTGACTCCTTCAACCTTCAAGTATGTTTTTTATATTCAGCTTTTAATCGTAGTATCTTTCAAAGAGAAAGGAATAATGAAAAAATATAATTAATATTTATTTTCGGGCTAGGGGCCGATGTTTTATTTATGTTAAGCCCAGAGCAGATATATAATCACATGTTAAAATATATCCAAATTAATATAACATATTATGCATGTAAAAACGACGTATATAAATGGCGAGCACATTTAATTCCTTTAAAATAGCAGATAAATAAATTTGATTATAAATAATACTATAAATTTATAAACAATAAAAATCATTGAGATTTAAGACAATTAAAACATATCCATTCACCATCAGGAATTGTTTCCATACCAACACAAAATGAGTGGAAGCCTCTATCACATTTATCACAGCACATCATTTCAGCCTATATATGTTCAATTGTATAATAATTTAACCATTCAAAATGTAATGTTTCAAAAGTTTGAGAATCGTATTTTTTGATATTTTGGACTTAGGCTGCATTCATAGTGGCTATCACAATGCGAAAAGATTTGTAGCGACATCGCAGCCATATAATTTTTCGCAAAAAAGACCGTCGTTTTATTGTTATTTATCAGGAAATAAAAGGCAAGATTTAAAACAAATATCTAATAATTAGTTTTTAATATAAAAATTTTTTTTAAAATGTTTTTGATGGAAAGAAATAAACTTTTTTTAAAATAGAAAATTAAAAAAGTACAAATTTTAACATAAAGTTGCTTAAAGTCTTGAAACTTTTCAAATAAATTTTAGAAGCAGTCTTATAAAGAAAATTAAATATTCTTCCATTATTTTAAATTTTAAAAGAATTACCATATATCTAGAACATTTTTAAAAGCAAAACCCGAAATAAAAATTGTACTCAATAATTTAAAACCACAAAGGTTTCAGATTCTGATTTCAAAACTCTTTTTGAATAAGAATGTAAAACATTTTATTTTTCAAAAGTCATGTTTTTTTATATAAAATTTCATAAATAATATTTAATATTTTTTTATCAATTAAATAAAAATAATTTTATGGATCTTCACCTATCAAAATTGCTAAGGCTGTATTCAAATATCACTAAATTTTGATTCGCAAGCTTTTGAAATTTTTTTAATTTAAAAATAAATAGATGTCCAAAATATAATTCTATAAAATTTTGACACTTCTGAAAGTTTTAAAACTATTCGAATTAAAAAGATTTTGAGCATAGTCTAATGAGAAGAATTATGCACCCTAATTTTAACTATATTAAATATTAATATATTTTTACTTGACCCTGTGTTATAATTCTTTTTAAAAACTTTATCAAAAAACATGTGATATGTAATAAGTCTATTTTAATGGAAAATAAAAATGTGGCTCAAATATTTTTTTAAAAAATTTTCACGTTATATTTCTTTATTTTAAAACTTTTGAAATAAGTTTTGGAAACATCTTGAAGAGATATAATAATAAAAAAAAAATAATGCAGTTATAAAATGTTGATACTATTCTATTCATATCTAATTTTACTTAGTCTATATTAGGTAATATCCCAATTCAAATTTTAAGGGCTAGGGTTAAGTCTAGGAATTAAATAATATCTATTGTAAAATCTGATTGACATATTAGCATTTAATGGCATCAGCATTTCTATATAATTATTTTATAAAAGACGACGAAATAAGAAGAAACAAATATAAATTTCCTTCGTGGAAATGTTAATAGGAATATAATAAAGGGAGAAAACGATTAAAGAATCGCTAAATTCCTGGCTATAATAGGGAAACTTTATCGACCTTTAAAAAATAAGCCCTCTCATTCAAGCAAAAATCAGAGTAATCAAAAGAGACTTACTATCCAAAACAGAGGTTAATCTTAGACATACATTGACTAACTCTTAGCTTTGTTGGTTCAATGGAAAATAAAAGGATTGATGAAGTTCCCATTCCTTAACTTCACCAAAGGTTTATAAAAAGAATGCTGCAATACTTTATTTTAATTCTATATAATGTTCATAATGCAAAACATATAATTTGTATTTTATCATATATTTTTATTATCATTCAAGTGAAAAATGAAAAGTAAAAATCTTTTAAAAATAAAATATTTATAGATTATTGATATTTAACATCATAATATAAGTAAAACCTTGCTCCATTTAAAATATTCATTTTAAAAATAATATAAAATAATTATAACTTCATTCCCAGTATTAAAGCATTTCGCACAATTTTTACAATCTACACATTGCCACGCGTAAGTATTAATAATATTGACCATTGTTGAAGTTAGACCTAAACATGAAGGGTGACCTAATCGAAAAATATATATAAACTTTTTTTACCAATAAACATGGCAAATTGATATATTTAAATCTTTAAAATGTCATCATATCAGAGCCATTCAATGATCAAGAATCGCATTGATTAGTTATTGGAAAAAAATGTAAGGAAAGTTTAGTTGAAAATATATGAACTTAGTTGAAAATCGAAGGGAAAATAGAATTAAAATATAATCATTTAAGATTTAACATATTGGCATATAATCTATCGAATTTCTATGAAAAGTTATGGGCGTGGCTAAGGGGAAAAGAAATCGTAGAATCTCTCTTCCCTCTGGAAAAATGAATGATTTATTTGGCAGACTATAGAAAATGTGGTTTAGGATTTATGGATGTATTTGAAAGTAAAATAAACAAATAAACATTATATTAAAATTATAAACCCGTTTTAAAACACTCGGCACAACTAATTAAACTTCCTTTCAATAAAGAATCAGCTAACGCCGGAAAGCCACATATATGACACCAATCTCCAAGAATCTATAAATTTATTATTTTGATAGAAAATTATAATAGGAATATGAAGTAGTTACAAAATTTAAAAAAAGATATATTATAAAAAAGTTAACTTGTGATTTTTGTAGTGAATCGATAGAAACCGTATCCGTTTCATCATTAGTAAATTTAGAATGCTTAAGTTATATATAAATTTACGAATATAAAAAATGTTAAAATTTTATAAAATTTTTAGTAATAAAATCAAAGACTTGGATTGGGGATAAGAACCGGAAGGTAGATGTGAGAGACAAAAACGGAACAGAGATTTGAGCAGAACGAAAACAGGACAGAAACCCGATTAATGAGCCCTAAAAAATTACACTCGGAAAAAACCATCACGTAAAATAATTACTACATCAAATTAAATATTTTTATTATATAATAGAATGCTTTCCTGCATCATTAAAAATTTAAAAAATATATTAGTTGTATGATACACAAAAAATTATTTAGTAGTTAACTTCGTAAATTATTATAGTAATAATTAATAAAAATTATTATCAATAATAAAAACGATGATGTATATATGACTAGATTGATGATTCATTTGTTAAATTCCTTTAAAAGTCTACACATAGGAATCAGTTGTAGAACGTGGCTTGCATATCAATGAAATGAGATTAATGTGGATTAATATATTGGTATGGCATTAAGCCACAATGCAAACCACAAAATGACGCTACAGAGGACTCCTATATATATACACTAAGTAATGAATCGCCAAGCTAGTAGTATATATACATCATTGTAAAACTAAAACAATATCTGCTCACTTTGTATACAATTTATAAAAAAATACATCTGCCCAGGAACAAATTTGATGACAATATTGCTATGTAGACAACTAAATAGACATATAAAAATCTGATATGGATTAAAAACAAAAAAATATTAAGGGAAGATAGATGTCAATGAACTCCTAAGAAACTAAGGAAATTAATTCGGAACACCACGATTTGAGATGGTAGAATAATTTTAAAAAAAGATCCGTGATCCCGATCTGAGCAATTCGCCCTTTCTTAAATTTTAAAAATATTACAACCTTGAGGTCCAACTATATAAAAAATTAAATAATTTAAGAAATAAAGAGGAAAAGTAAGAAAACAAACTACATATTACCTGATAGGCCTCCCGTATATTTAGTTTCACAGAAATTAAGCAATATTCAATAATTTTTTCAACTTTAGAATCAGAGTTTGGATTAAATAAATACTTTGATTACTGATGGAGCAGTTTTTTGTCAATTTTCTAGTGATTTTATATCAGGTCAGGGGTGTTTTTTCCATATAAAATATTTGAAAGAACCATTTTCGAGGACTTTTTTTCCAGTTTATTAAGGTGTTATTTTTTCCTATTACCGCTAAATAAAGGCAAGTTTATATTAAAAAAATAAGTGAGACCTTAAAATTTTATAGTGAACATTTATTTTTGGGAAATTTTATAAAAAAATTAGTAAGTATTATTAGTTTATATATTTCAAAGAAATGAATAAAAATAAATAGAGGAATTATGAAGATCTTAGTTGCTAGTATGTAATATTAAGATAAATAGATTCATTTACCAATTTATTTTTAATAAAACCTTAATACATATCAGTTGTTCCTGAACAATTTTTAAATAATACTGACCATATTTATAAATTTACTAACCCAAAAAATTATAGCCATTTATTTATATTATAAATGTAATTTTTAATGTCAGAAAATAGTTTTATGGAAAGCTGCACAGAAACCTCTAGTACAAATATAACTTATTCAATTCTGCAGAAAATAGGAAAATTTGGGAGAAATTGGAAAAACATCTGAATTATGATCAAGTGTAGAAAAACTTTTAGCTGTATAAAAGGTGCTGGTGCTCTTAATATAAAAAGTAAGGATCCCCAATATGTAGAATAATATTTGTGATAAAAAGAAAAGGTTGATGACATTGCCAAATATTCTGAGTCAAGTTTAAATTTTTCACAGCCCTAATTTTCAGAGTCAAGTTTTAAATTGTCACAAACAAATGTAAAATATTAAAAGACAAAAATATAAAAAAAATTTTTATTTTAGGAATCTGAAAATTGCCACCTAGGAACAGCATTATTTAATATTTTTATATAAAATTAATAATAAGCTGCATCATACCTTAATGCAATTGCTAACCCACTTTTTAATAACATAAATACTAAGCAAAATATAACTATTGATTCTTTTGATGATACTGTAATTTGATATTTATTATTGAATAATAGTTAGATCAAAATATTAATGCTACCAAAGAAAATGAAAACCCTACATTTTTAACAAAAATATGAATATTCCTATTCCTACCCTTAAAGGAAAAAAAGGATTGAATCTGAAAGAACAGATATCCTAAGGGATAAATATATATTATAATAAATAATATTTTCTTTAAAAAAAATAGATATACTAGATTCAAATAAAATAGAAAAGCTTAATGATTCACTTCATATGATGGGATTTTATGAATCTTATTTAAATCAAACTAATGTTATGATAATAGAAGATATTTTTAAATTTAAAAACTATTTTGTGAAAATTTAGTTTCATTTATGTAAATTATTCCTATTTTTGTATTATATTATTTCTATTACAATTTTATTATATAACTCAAATAAACTAATTTATATAAACTTTATGAAAAATTAACTTTCTAAATAATAGTTGTTATTATGTAATTGAAGGCTATTATATTTGGGTCCTTATTTATAAAACTTGGATGTGTCCTAAATGTTTTGTTATTAATTTGCGAAAACTATTTTAAGGATTTTTTCAAAACATTTTGGACACAGCTTAATCACAAAAATCTCCTGAACCTGAAGGTTTGATGTAACCATTGAATTTTTATAATCCGAATTAGTGTTATTTATTATAAACCGTGCTTATATTTTTGTGTAAAAATGAAGACTTTATATTATTTTTGAGTATATAAAGGATGAACAAATTTTGTAAAATGTTTATGTTTTTTCTTGAAGGGGGGGGAGGATTTTTTTAGAGAATTTGTTTCTGACTCATGGGCGTAGAGGAGCCCCCGCTGCATGGATTGATGTTTTCCTTTTTTAACTGAAGTCTTTAACTTTGAATGAGTACTCCGTACCCCTATAATTTAATTCATAACCTTTGTATGAAATTGCCGTTTAATAAATAATTACTATTCACTAAACGGTCCCAAATCAGGAAAAATTACGATCTTTTGAAGGGAGCACGATATTTTTAACTGACATTTCCAATTTTAAGGAACTATCGGAAAATATGAAATGTTCAAATAATAAAATATAAATAAACTAGCCTATCCAGTCTTAAACAACAAATATGTCTATGGGGAACTTAATAAATTACAACTTAGGCCTAGGAACATTATGGAGTCTAAAGGTAAAATATTTTAAAGGATACAAAGGAATATAATTATTATTTTAAAAAATTATCAGGAATAGGTTCCGGGGGGTTAAAATTTTTTTTATAGGTTCTCATAAAATAACCCAGCTTCTCAAAACGTTTTGTATGTGAAAATTGGAAGCTACTATTAATTGAATATTTTTAATGTTAAAAGAATTGGAACAGAAGTGGTACCATAGGCAACAAAAAATATCAAGCAAGTAACTGGAGGAGCAGAACAAAAAAAATGTCCTTATTTCTGATTATAACCTAATAATTTATTTATTTTTATTAATACTTCGATGGTTTGATCTAAGAGTTGATGATAGGTTCGATTCATATCGAGAGGGTGAGATTGATTATTTTGTAATGCTATAAATATATTAAAATAAATTTTGACATATTTAATATTTTTAAACCCAACCCTGACCCGATTTATATCTTCGGCTCAAGCCCTGCCCAGTAAAAATTTCATAAATCTTGGCCCAAGCTTTAATTCAAATAATTGTGAATTGAATAGCAACTAATTGATTTTAGGTTTGATATAAGAGCTGGTTTTACAGTGTTTGCAGGATGAACAAACAATTTCATAGTTTTGCCTAGAGCCAACATCTGCCATCTTTTTTGGGGGATATTGCATTTTGGGTTAAAAGTTTTTTGCCCTCTTTAATCAAATTAATATTATCTTTCAGAAAAAGTCTAACCAATATTATACTATCTGTAAATGTTGGGGTGACCCAACTTGTGAAAAATTTATATTGAGATTTTTGGCCTGACCCAGCTTATAATAATTTTTATATGGCCTGGCCAGTAATAATTTTTCATGAAGGAAAATGTCATAAATTTAGTTATAAGCTGTAAAAACATTTAAGGCTTTGGTAAGGCCTAAATATTTGGTATGGGTGACCTTAAAAAAACGGATTGGCCACATGCTGGACTTTTGGGTTGGGCTGTATGGATCTCTAATATTTATTATGATTTAGAGGCAGTGAGGACTGATAATATTTTGCCTAATGGGGAAATTTTTCAAGCAATATAAATTTTATGGATGGCTTCACCCACATGCTTCCCATTTTGCGGGATTTTTCTTCACCTTTGTCTGGCTTTCAGTAGGGTTTCCTTCAATTTCAAAGGCACATTCTTATAGGTAGTATATGACAAGTTAGTTCACATTTTATTTTAAGAATTGAATAGAGAAGATAGTACTTAGCAAAATTATACAGATTGCATATAGACCTGTGCAAACTTTTTGCTAATTTGGATTTTCTTTGCAATGGCGATTTAAAAGGGCCTCCAAATTTAGTTTTGCCCTCGCAACCAAAAATCTCATATCCCAGTGTACAGGGAAAAAAAATTTTAACTTGAATTTTTGTAATATTATAATGGGCAGGGAACTTGTGAAAATTTTTAGCAGGTCAAAATAGGCAGGGCTTTCTACAATGCATTTTTTCTTCAACTTTAAATAATTTGAGTACATTTCAAATTCTAAAAATCTGATTTTCAAAAGTGTATTAAAGCATGTTTAGTATTCAAAAAATTTTGCCAATAACTTTTGAGCCCTAAGCCCAGTTGGGTACAAGGGCCTGGCCTAGCTTAAATTTTTTTATAAAATACCTGGGCTGTACATTCTAAAGCCAAATATTTTAAATTGCTATTGCCATAAAAATTAAAAATATATTTAAAAAAAATCCAAGCCAGGCCTGAAAATATAAAACTCGAGCCAGGCCAAAAAAAAATTATTTAATAAAATCTCGCCAGGCCATATAAATGGCACCTTTGCAGGTTTCTGATATTCATGATTATGGAAAAAATTTTTAACAATCAGAAAGAAGGATATGATTTCATTAGTCTAGCTTCCATATTTATTAATTATTAAAATTTTACTAAATAAATGTTACACAATTTAAACAGTTTCACCATTAAGAATTTATCTTGGTTTATATTTTAAAGCTTTTATGTATACCTTGTACCTTGATAATCTGTTAGAGTGTTACTATCTATCAATATATTGAAATTCAATTTATTTTGTTCCAATTTTTGTAAATAATTTGAATTATATAATTGATCTTTAGAACATGTCAAACTTGTTGGAGTATTGAGAGGTAACCTTTTAAGATCATGTGGTGTATATCTTAATTTAATTAAAAATATTATATAATATTAAAGATGTGGGACTTTTTATAACAATCTTGGTACTGCCAAGGTAAAATTGCAACTGGGTACAATCTATTAGGTGGAGGCTGGATAATAAAATCATCTATGTGTTTTTGAGGATAGTGAATGGCCTAAAAATATTTAATAATTTTATATCAAATAATAATTTCAACCATTGTTTGTAGATCAAAATAAGCTTTGCGGTCTTCCATTCTTTGTCTATTAAGCTTCCTATTAAATTTTGAGGATGATTTCATAGCTTTTTTTATGGTAGAGACTGATTTATACTTCTCAAAAAGTGGATTCTATATAAAAAATTTAAGAAAAATTTTATTAAAAGTTTTACATAATTTTCAAATGTTTTGTCATTAGAATTAATAGGATTTATTGTTTTTTCATCAATATTATCATTAAGATTCAATGTTTGCACTTTATCACTATTTTTATTATCAAGATTCGTTGTAGGTTCTTGCTCAAGATCATTGTTAGCAAAACTTTCAAATTCCATACCTAAAATTAAGTTTACCTCCAACTTTCCTAAATTATTTGATTTCATAGTGCTCATAATCAGCTGTTTCTATGAGTAGAATTTAAGTACAGCTTTTTATTTTTTAAAAGATTGCCTTTTTTTTGCGTTTTATAAAAGTTAAAATTTTTAAAATAATTTGAGTTGATAAGAGTAGGGAGACTTTAAATATATTATCTATATATAAATATTTTTATTAAAAATATCATGATTATTTCATCCAAAATTAACCCAGAGCTTTAATTATTTATTAAAAATGATTAAACAAAACATTATAGTTAAATAGATTAACAATTTATTATAAAATTAAATTTATTTCTTTGAAAATTAAATGAATAGAACATAGCTTTATAATCACGCATTCATCCGCGATTTAAATTTCAAATTTGTATTTAAAAATAAGCGCATTCCATATCAATTTATTCCATGGCAAATAGACCATCTAAATCCGGATTGGCAGCCGAGGAAGACAAAAAAGTATAATATATTTTGATTAATTATAATGAAATACTCAATTATTAGTAAAATTTAAAAGAGAAAGAATTATTTGCAATGCTTTAAGACGAAATTCATACTTTTTCCGGGCAATAAGTTTCATATTGCACAGTTTAGTAATTTGTGGATGGGCAAAAATAAAAATGAGATTTGTTTATTATAAGTTAAGCAGTATTTTTTTAATTTATTTCAATTTTAAATTATCAAAAGCCTAGCCAGGGTATAGAATTCTATTATAATATTGCAACATGATAAGCTGTGTAGTTTAGATTACACATTTCCTACTTCCATATCTACAAGGTCTTTTAATGGATAGAATAGAAAATAATATAATTTATTAATTAATATCATAAGAAGCTTTTAATAAAACATGTCCTAAAATTTACAAATAGAGACCCTTAATTATTATTTTTTCCTCCCAACATGATACTCTGTTTAGGTGGAGGTTATTGCTATGGTATATATGTATTCCTTAATTAAATCACCTTTATAAATTGACCCTGGTAAAAATTAAAATAAGCCCTCGTTGGACATCATATAAAGATGGGTATTGGTTGGTTAACAATTATATATATTTTTTATTTCAATTTAATAAGATTTATTATTTAGTTATATCTTCAGAAAAAAACATTATATGTAAAATGCAAGTAAATAATTGAAAAAAGGCATGGGTCCATCCAAGGGAGGAGTGGATGCTCAATCATTAAAATTTCCAGTGTTTTCAGTTATTTTTTTTTGAAGTTTTTAATCAATTGGAAGGCCTTGAAATTCCCAAGATATTGATAATGATGGGCATGAAATTGTATTTTAAAAGTTTGAGTATTTTTTTTTAAAGATTTTGGTGTGGAAGGGCAAAGTGAATTATTTGATCAAGCTGAGAAATCTATTAAAATGTTTCCCAAACTAGAGCAAGGCAGTTAGACTAAGGTATTAAGGTAATACCATCTGGCCTTTTTAAACAATCATAATCATTTCAAAAACAAAAGCTTCAAAGCAAATTCGATGAAGAAATAGCTGGAGATGTCATGCTATGGTTGAGTGAAATGTTAGGAGATGAGGAAATGGAAACATCTGGTGAGAAGGACAAATTTCATGAAACACTTCGTGATGGTATCATTCTTTGCAGGTATAATGAGTTTAGTAGTTTAAAAATATTTTTAATTTTACCTTATCTCCAAAAAATATAACGAACTTTAAATTTATCATTTGAGCCATTGAATCTTTAAAATTATCTTTTTTTATATATATAAGTGTGTATTATTTTTGTAGCAATTTATTTAATGAGTTTTTCCTTATAACAGGCATAGCTTTTTTATTTGTTTCCAAAAGTATTTTTTTTTAATATAGATGGTTTTCTAGGAGGTATTCAATCAGAATCAGGGATAGATCCTGGGCAAAAGACCCAAACAAAAATACCCAAATTTTTAAAATTTTTTCAAATAATTTTTTTTTTGTTCAGGTCGATTTACCCAGGACATTTCTATCCAGATTTATTCAATCATAATGTATTTATAACTTGCACACTTTGACTTCTATTTTAACCCCTTTCATTATTAATTATCTCAAAATTTTGGTTTCAAAGTTATCTTGAAGCAGGTCTTGCTCCTAAAAATAAAGAAATTTTTTTTAGCCAATTTAAATCACTGGTGATTAGTGTCAAACAGAATGATTTGGGGCGATTTTTAAAAACAGCCCTATTAAGATTTTAGCCAAAATAATATTATGTAAGCCCTAAGATTTTGTAAATATAGAGGTTAAACCTTTCATCTATGAGCAAAATCTCCAGACTTATATAATATTATTTTGGCTAAAATTTTAATCAGGCTTTTTTAAAACATCAACATATCGTGCTGTTTAACAACACTACTGGGGATAATAAAAAGCATATAAGAAATTTTTAACACTCTTATTATTGTTACTGAATGAAACTTCATTTTTTTAAGATAGCCATTATATGCAAAAGTGATGCGTTATTTAAACAATCATTGCATAAATTTATTTCTTATAAGAAAACCTCCCATCAAGATTTAAAACTATTTTTTTTGTCTTGGTATTATAAAAATTTAATATTACAAAGATATCTGATTTTTTAAAGATAATATTTATTTGAAATGCATTTTAACGATTTTAAAAATTTCATAAAAATTTTTCTCTCTTAGTTATTAATTTTTTTATAAAAAAATTATATTTTATTACCCATTTGGGACTGTTTATAATTTATTTAAGTATACATTTCATATATATATATATACTAAATTTAATTTATTCTAAGGAAGGTGGTATGGTATGTAATTATTTTAAAATTTTGGGGAATAAGAATAACACGATCTCTTATGGATCGTTCTCAACATACCTAAAATTTCTATTCGAGCGAAAGGGCTTTTTTAATCACACCTAAATAATATTGACCACTATCTAGATGTCTTTACTTGTTTATTTTGAGCCTAATTGTTTTCTTTATTACTTTTTTTTTTATATAATTAGGCCTCAACTTAAATAAAATATTGAATTTATGGCTGATTTAACCCCTATACTTGTGACATTAAACTCAGGAAATTATGGGCAGTTTTAAAAAAAATACTAATTGTTATAACTTCTTCAATAGATGAATCTTAATGTCCGGCCAATCCCATTAATTGATCCATCTAAGTTTTATTTATATTCGTAATTATATCTCTAACTATATAAGTACTCTCGCCAGGTCTTCCTGCTACTACACTGTACATGTTGAACACCACTCTTTCTCAATCCCTTATCGCATTCTTATCAAAAAATTCTATCGATAATTGTTTAATGTATAAAAGTTAAATCAATATAATTTTTCTCTCGATATCCCCCCTCCCCCCCGATTTATTTTAAAAATATTAAAATGAAACTCAAACTAACTTACCTAAGTCTCAATTCGCAAAATTTAATTATTTATGACCTTTAAATTGTGTCATTATTTTTAATATTATATATCTTCCTTCTTTTTTTTTTAAAATAAAAGTATATTATCTTCTCTTTTTTTTCTCGTGAAGAAAATATGGTGAAAAAATATTTTTTTGGTATAAAATTATTGCATCTTGCAATATCAAAGGTGACCTATCAGATTACTTAGTAGACCTATTCAAAAACTAATACGAAATGAATAGTTAATTATTCGTATTCGATTCCTTTAAACGAATCGAATAAGTTACTATTCGCAATTATATCAATCAAATAAAAATAATTACTATTTGTTCCATTACTTCTCCATTAATTTGTCATTCAAACCGTATCGAAAAGTTAAAATTAGCCAACTCTAAATAAATTTGGCACCTTCGTCGTTTAATATTTAAGGAGTAGTTTTTTATATCTATGATATATTATTTAGCAATAAATTTATAACTCCTAGCTTGACCTTGGAAAATGATTTCATATTTTATTTGTTACATAATTTATCATAATTTCTCGACTAAATTAAAATTAAAATATATAAATAATGCGATATATTTGAAATCATATCATGACATAATATTTTTTTTTAAAGAATAGAAATAAAAATCTTTTTCCTTGCTTATTTGATTTCTCCGGTCAATTTTTATAGTTATTGTACTCTTATTTTTTATTGCATAATTTAAAAATTATTATGATAATAATTATTGTAATTTTTTTCTTTTTATTATTATTAATGGCTTCTTCATTAAAACAATTTGCATTCATTCTTCCATCTATCCATTGCTTTATACAGATACACTTTTCTTTTACTTTTTTTTCTTTATTTCCTTTTTAAATTTTAAAAAAAAATAAAAGTTGTGAAGGTTTTGTGGATAAAAAAAATAATTAATCTCATATTCACGACAAACACTACTATTTTTGGGTTTTTATAATTATCTAGATGATTTTTTTAGTAACCTCTATTGTTAATTAAGATATTTGAAACCCCTGTCCGATATGTTGGCTATTCAAAATCTAATCTAATATTCGATTTATTTCGAATAATTCAAATCGATGGTAATGAATACGATTGGTAAATTATTTGTCTTGTTCGAGTGTGTATAAACGATTATCCGATTCGAATAAAACAAATAATTTGAATTATTCGGAATAATCACGAATATGTTTTTTAATAAAATCGAATTTGTAATTTTTATTGATAATTCGTAAATCTGACAGGTGGTGTGATTAACCAACTGCTTTTGAAAGGCTTTTCTCGTTTAGAACTAATTTCCTTCAAATAAATCGCATGGCTTTTAAAGAAGAAACAATAAGAAAAACCCTTTCCCTTAAAAATAATATGTATTATAGTTAAATTTTTTTTAAAAAATAATAATTTTTATATTTATATTAGACATGCAATAAAAAAAAATTGGGCCTACTGTAGTGGGGTTAAATAGTTGGTTTTACACAACCATGACCCTGGTTTTTGGTCGAAAAATGAACCAACCCAACCAAATAGGTAGATCTGGTCGACCATATCCATTGACCTGAGCACCAATTCAAAACCAAATTATTATTATATTTTATTTGAATATTGTACTCATTCACATTCTTATAGATATAGAGGACCAATATTGGCATAGAAATAATTGTTTAATAATATTAGATTCCTTTTAAAAAAAATTGTTTTCTTCTTATAATCTGAATTGTATTTTTTACTTTAAACTAGCAACTCGTGTTCTGATCGCGAAACCAAATTGAAAACTTGAGGACGAGTAGTTCAATATTCACATAAAAATAATTATCGTAAAAGGAATATATTAGATTTTTTTTTATAAAACGTTCTTAACTTGAGATAAAAATTTTATATAATTTTTACTTTACACTAGAAAATCGAGTCACAAACTCGAGTTGTGATTGAAAACCCAATTCAAAAATAGAGTACAAGTAATTCAATTCCATATTAATTAAATAATTAACATCGAATTCGAAATAATCATCTACTAAGACCGGGAAATTTTTTTTATAGGAATTTATTGATTTTTAGATATTTATAATTCATATATCATTAAAAAAAATAAGAGTAATATATGTTTATTTGAAATAATTTTCGGGATCTGGCCTAAAGTCGTAAAAATTGGCTAAAGCTCAAGCCGATTAGATGAGTGGCTCAGGAGTTGGCATTAGTCAGCTTAGGAATTGGTTCTAGTCGTCCAAATAGTTGGTTCTAGTCGTCCTAATAGTTAGATCTAGTTAGTTGTCCCAATAGTTTTCTCGAGTTTAATTTTGAGCCGAAATGCATTTATTTGTTATTTGACTCTAATTCGCTAATGGATATTACGACAAAAATTAATTGCTTTGTATAGCCAAAAATTACCTTCTGATCAAAATATTTTGCAATATTGGCTATCCAAAAATTTCAAGAACCTGTATTGTATGCCCTCTAGTCTATAGTACTAGCTGATCCTTGCTCGCTATCGATGGAAAGATCCTTCAGTGCATTACGATTAAGTAATCCCACTACAAATCAGATTGGACAAATGTACTGGATATTTTAATCATTAAACTTAATAAAAATTTGTTAAACAACGTTATTTTTTGAGTTTTGATATTCATTTTTATTTTTATAAGATTTTGAATTAAATCTGTTGTTAATATATTGTCTTAGAATAAATAAAATTAAGGAATATAATTTTGAAATGACATCATCAAAAAAGGTGGGACAGACATTTTTCGAACTCTTTAATTAAAATTTTTTTTAAAAATCCAAATGGACTCGGATTTTGGCAATAATTATAATTTTGCTTAAAACTAATCATTTAAACAATTACAGAATGTCAATAATGATATAATTTCAAAAAATATACTTTTTAACACTTTAAAGAAATTTTTTTGGATTGGATAAATAAAAAAACTTCTCCGATCATTGCCTGAAACGAAATATAAATTTTAAAAAGTATTTTATATTCCCAAAACTGGGATTTTGGATAATATTTCCTCCATTTTCGCGATTTTTTTAAAAATTTTAAATTTAAATACAAGTGTTTACTCCACTAGCATTCTTAATATTAATTTCAAATTTACTTTAAAAATTTTAAGGAGATATAAGCCAGAAACCCAATTTTTAGCGATTTTTGTTTTAACGATTATGAACGGGAATCGATTTTGAATTGAATCCGTTATTAATATTTGTGACTAATTTTGAAATGACATCATCAAAAAAGG